TGACAAAACGTGAGTGTTGTTGTTTGGTTTGGTTTGGGTCTCCTAAAGAAAACGTGTTAATAACTAACCAGAGGTACTCTTTTTTATTTGTATTGATATTTTTATTTTAGCTTATAAATATTTTAATTGGAAATCAAAACGCGGAACAGATCTTGCTGGGTAATTACAAGATTTTCATTGATAATAATAATAATATTTGCTTTTCGTAATCGTAATAATAATAATATTATTATTATAATTACAAGATGTCAAGTCAGCATTGACTGTTGAAAAAGAAACAATTCAAAATGCAATGTTTGATTATCGGAAATTGGCAGATGTTGAAGCACGCATACCACCTTGAACACTTTACAGCCATTCACACACATCTTCCTCGTCGTGTGCACAAGGCTAATCTGACCAAGATTTTTATGATGATACAATGATGCAACAGAACTCCAGGGGGGGGGCAACATGGCCCTGGAGTTTATCAAAACTGCATCAATCGTCAATGATGCTTTCACTAATCTTCCCAGACCAGAGAAGGCTGCTGGCATGCTGGCTGAAAAGTTGCCTGCAACGATCCTACTTCTAGGGCAAGGATGGCTCTGATCAATTCAGAGCAGGGTTTGTGGCCCTGAAATTGCATTGGGCTCTGATGTTAAGAGGAAAGTTGTAAAATAGTGTTTGTTTTGTATAATTACTTTCCTAAATTCTCTGTTTTTTTTATTCTAACCAATTTAATAATTTTGGTTAGATTAAAATTATTGCACGATTATATACAATATGGCCAACAAGAAAAAGTCATAAAAATGGTTCGGATTTTGTTTGGTATGTTTAAGGCTTTACATGAGCCAGCTTGCAAGCTGGCTTGAGAGCTTACTAAGTTATTTGGCTTGTGAGGAGCTTTAGGTATGTTACATATAAATTAATAATTTTCATAAATACTCTGTTTTCTTTAATTTTTGTTTGACCAACTGACTTGTTATTTAATTGAGGTAGGGTTGTTGGTGAGTAGACATGCCACCAACAAGACAGCAACCCAGGACTCAAAACTCCGAATTCAGGGAAAATCCAAAACAGCAACACTCCTACATTGGAGAATTTTTAACCAGTTGCAGACACCAACTTTATACTGAAGGGGTATAACACAAAGTAATCATCCACACAGGCACCAACTATCAGCAATCAATGCCCATTTGGTAACAGTCAAGCCTGTCTGAAAGGAAGATAAGGGAAAGTTTTGTCCAAAGCCTTCCAACATATGGATGGCCTTCACCTGTGGGAGAAGTTTCACAATTATGAGGGTGTGTGAAAGCACTAATTTGCATGTTTGTGACAGGAAATTTTAATTAAATCTGACACCTATGATCAACATCAGATTTATTATTCATAAGGAACCATAATTGATAATCTGGAAAATTAATTTATTTTGTGAACCCCAGAGATCTGGGTAGACATGCATTATTAAAAGTTTCATTTATGGATGGCCTTGGTATTGTTACTACCTGGGTGATTCAATTGTTTGTTATGAATGATGATATCAAATGTATTGAATAACCATCATGAACATCATGAATATTCAATGGATGGAAGCATTCACATGCAAGGAAATGAAGGAAATGATTAAATGTCTAAGTCATGTTTGTTTTATTAAAGACATATGGTTAATTATATTTAAAATACACAATAAAAAAATTGCACTATTGCATCACTATGTCAATCAAGCTATCAAGCTGTTATGTTTGTGCATGATTTAAATTCTTTTGTGGTCCCATCTTTTCTTTGCTTATATATAATCTATTGGTTCTCTCTTTACTGGTCAAATGATGCCAAATTGGGTAATGGGGTAACAGCAATTATCAGAATCTGATTATCAGTCAGACAAGATTTCACATTTACTGATTTTACTATATGATCGACATAGCACATTTTCTGTACAACAGGCTTTGAAGGAAGAATTGAATACAAGATTATTAATAAACAATTTTTATGCTTCTAAATAAATAGAATCTTGTGCTTTTGTTCATTTAAATTCAATTTTTTACTTGTCGATAGCTTGTTTTGTTATAGTGCAATAGCTTCCCAAATAGTGTTCCATGTCGCAATCCAAAAAAGGAAACCAAAGTGGTCGCAAAGGTGGTTGCAACCAGGTGTTGCAAACCATTTTTATATGTTGCAAATATGGTTGCAACCATCACCAAGAATTGCGACCAGAATCTATATTTCCAGAGACCCATACTTTTTGACTTTAAAGGCCTAATTATTTATGAAAAATAATTCTATTAAGATCATTTTAGCATCATAATATAGAGTACATTGAGAACTCTCAGAAAATATATGGTTCGTTTGAGGCAGAAGAAATTAAAGGCAAAAAACAATTTTATAAGTTATTTATGACTATTTTATATTAGTATTAAATTTTTTTTTTAATTAGATCATTATACTAATTTTATTGAATTATCTAATTTAGATAGAATACATTGAAAAAATAATTAAAAGCAATGATTCAATGTAATTTTATTTTTATTTTCTTTTTACATTATTATACCAATATTCCCTAACTTTAGTAGATGACATGAATTATTTATTTTAAATAGATTTTCAAATAATCTTTTTGCTACTTCCTTTGGTAAGTCTGTAGGATGATTAAACAC